AAATTGTTGATTCCAACTGTCACGTAAGGACTGTTTCTGTTGCCCAGCAGCTAAACACTGCACAAAAAATTCATTTGGAATAATTTATATAAGGCTGTATAAAAAGAGAAACTCGATGTATAGGTGCCACTCGAGTTAACGCTAAAACACCTCATGTCCCGAATTTCCATTTGCTAAAGATAAACCATGCTCTGGAAGGCCAATTGTCGAAAATATCAACAAAATAATGGAAATTGTTGAGTACAACTGTTGTTGTGTGTTTTAGTTTTCCCAGGAGCTAAACATTGTACAAAAAATCGTTTGGTGCCATTTAAAAAAGGCTGACTATAAAAAGAAACGAGATGTATTGGTGATACACGAGTTAATGCAAAAAACACTCATGGACCGAATCTCCATTTCTGAAGCGGATGGTTACAGGTGATGAAAGTGGGTCATTTATGACAACGTCAAGCGTAAGCGGTCGAATCGCGGTGAGGCGGCGCAAACGGAAGTCAAGCCAGGATAGACGGTCAGAAAGGTTTTGCTATATGTTTGGTAGGATTGACAGAAAATGTTTTACTATGAACTGCTTCCTTATGGTCAAGCTTTAAAATTGGACCTGGAATGTCAAGAATTGGACTGTCTGAAGCAATTGCCCAGAAGCGGCTAGTTTTGACCATGAGGAATTGTGTGTCATCAGCTTATGAATATCGACTGTTCCAGTTTATTGTCAATAGAGACGAGGGTTTCTATAAGAATGGTATTACGAAATTACCTTCAAAATGAGCTATTGAACAATCATTTTAACTATGCTCAATAAAACCTATACTTTATTACTAAAATAATATATTTATTTTTGCTAGATTTTTTTTTTATATGTAATGGATGATAAGGACCAATTTTCTCCATTTTGCACACATGTTGATTTACATACATTAGGTTATCTAACATATTGGTTTGAAAGTGAAAATAAACTGGCCGGAAAGTAGGAGCGGGTTTTTTAAATGTATCTTAATTTTAAACTGCATCGCTGGGAGATTATTAATAAATTATCTTATTTAGATTTAATTCTAAAATTATACCGCATACTCTGGTTTATCCTAATTCACATTTTTTCATACGGAATTTATGAAATTAATTGCATTAATACATTTCTTAATGTCTTTAAACTTCATATTTAATCTCTTAATTTCATGGAATTTTAAATTACCCTTCGAAATGTTAATGTTATAATTAAGGAAAAGTTTTAGTAGCATTCCGCCATTTATATTTTTGAACAATAATTCTTTGAATGTATGGAAAGGATATGCACATGTGTTTGAAACAAAATTGTTGCGCTTTTGTGCATGCAAAATTACTTTACAAAGTATCCGCAAAACTGCGGTTAGCCACGTATTCTACGAGTATACTTCGCTCCTCCCTTAACCTTACTCTTTGCTACGAACACCTGCTGTGCTAGCCATTGCCTATCAACTGTCGACCATCAACATTTTATATTTGTGGTTTCTTACTCATTTTCTTGCAACTCACTCTTATTATACTGTATTTATGTGAATTGTCCTTTTTTGTTATTGCTTTATTTATTTATGAAAATCAACAGTAAGACAGCGTAGTGCATTCCACTTTCTTACTTCTATTTTACCTCCAACAAAACGGAAGTTATTCTGCTTCTTGATTGCTTGCCCGTTTGCCAAGTTTATGATAATTAATTAATGATGCAATTGTTGCAGCGAAATAAGGAGGATAATAGCACGGACTTAAGTAAGGCAAGCGAATGTATTAAAGTTACCCGTTAAATACCTACTGTCATTTGTGTATCTTCGCGAGCAAATTACATTGAGAACTTAATATTCCAATTAGATAATAGGAAATGTACAAAGAATTCATTTCAATTCTAATTATTATGTAGTAAGGGTAAAAACTAAGCTAAGTTCTTCTAAAGATGAACTTTTTTTAATTTAATATAGACTTCATGGAATGAACCTCCTTAAGGAAAGAGTAAAGAAGAGGACATTATTGCAACAATATCGCAATCGAATCGGACCCTTAATTTTTTGGTAGCGACGTGTGAAATCGGGTATCTTCGTGGCAGAGAAATCTGTCGGCGTGATGAGTGCCACGTTTGCCCACACTGGTCGACAAGCGCAATCTGGAGATTTAACAGTAGAGTTTGGCCCTTTTAAATGCAATCTGAAAGAGGTTTTTCGTCGTTACGAGACTGTCGATGAAGTTGGATCTACTGGCACATACCAGAGTGCAAGGAACAGTGTGAAACAGTGGACTTCACTTAACGAACTTTTGACTCGAATGAGGAGGTTTTCGCAGCAAGTATGTAGACTTACTTTACAGACGGGTTAAATAAGTTCGAACTAAAAGGTGACTATATTGAGACATAATTATATAGAAAAATATAATACGAGACGTATTTGCCAAAGAACATTCCTGTCATAAACACATATCAAATCATTCAAATCATTTCTGAAATAGACAATGCAGAAGTTACACGGTGTTACTCCTGACATTGTAATTTTGTTTTTGCTATTATTTTGATATGTCAATAACGTATGTGAGCATAGATGTAGGTGTTTCCTATCATAAGCGTAAAGGAAGGCTGTCTGGACACAAGAGTGTCTAGGAGGACCAACCAAAGGCAGTGACAAACAAATTTACTTGTATGTACAATCGAACACTTGCATAATGCCGGAAGAAAGATGAATTGAATTGTGAACCGCAACACATAAAACAATCACTAACAGATCACGGACGTCTAGCAAGGAGCATGCATCAGCGTTGCCATTTGGGTGGAAAGTGTAAGCGTTACATATTTGGCTTATTGTCAATTTTTTCTTAAAAAAATATATATGTATATAATTTTCAAAATAAATGTATTTATAACAGTTTATTACAACTACTTAAATACCTAGTCACAACCTTTTTCCGAATATGCGTTTGTTAGCTACGCGAGTAGAAACACAAAGTAATTTTAAGTCTTTCAAACGGTTTCCTTTAATTTATTTTCCTATTGAAAAATTGTTTGCGCTATAGAATCTAAATACATTCATTCATTTCCTAGTCATTACCACTCTTAATTTACACGAAAATGAATGATTGTGGTGTTCATAAATGGAACAATTCGCGTTATCAAATAAAAATTATTTGGGGTTTCAATTCAAATTTGGTGAATTTTTAGTTTGCGGTTCAGCATAATTGTGTGATGTGGCAACCACGGCATTTATATAAGAGGGTACGTGGTCGTGTGAAGGAAGTGGCAAAGACGAATGGGTGACAGTCATTCAAAGTATGCGGACACGGGTGAGCAAGTCCAGACCACAAATGCAAATCCTCACACACATACACACATCTACTCTGTCGAATTGTGGAAACTTTTTTACTGTCGCCCTCGCAATTCTGCTTGGCCTTTGAATTTCACCCATTGGAAGCTGCGATTCCTAGATGGAAATGAAAATAAAGTTGTCAATTGTGGCAGTCGTGCAGTAACGATTTATGTTCTTCCTTCGATGAAATTGATGTTGATGAATGCAAATGCATTCGGCGTAAATACGTAAGCGTGTATGTATAATATATATGTGTATAGTTTGTGAGTTGATGGACGCACACATATACATATGCAAGCGTTTGTGCTCTTGTCTGCAACGCTGATGCACAAAGATCATAGCGCTCCTCTGTGGTCCATTCATTTCATGCTATAGGCGTTGGTAAATCACTGTGTAATTTATGCATTGCTGCCATGAGACAATACACATCGAAATCGTCTCTTACTTACCCATTTACCATACACATTCGGAGGTACCGTTTGCAGCCATTGTATCGCTACACTTTCTTAGTAAGCAATTCAATTGGTTGGTCCAAAAGCAAAATACATACCACAGACAGGTTTAAACAAACTTGACTAAACATTTCATAATTTCTTAATTTGAGTACAATTAGGAAAAATGTGAGAAGAATTTGCAATTTTTTTCTGATTAACTCTACGTAGCATATTTTGCTTATATCTAAATTTGAATTTGAATTCTAATAATTTAATGATATAAAACCTCGAATCAAGCATATATAACTTAACTAGGTATTCATAGAACTGTAGTTGTTTGTAGCAAGATGCAATAATTATTTTTTTTTATTACTTATAAGTTTTTTATTTAAATGAGTAAGATATTCGGCTTTCTTATACCATAGATCCCGACCTTACCTCGTTTCGCTATTAAATCCAGATTTACTTTCGAAATATTTGTTTTAAAATCAACCTCTTTAACTGAAACGCTGGTTCAGATATCGCTCAGTTTTGGTGCCAAATCACGAATTTTGTTAAGCTAAATTTACTCACTTCATTCTACTAAGTTACTGTCACTGGCCGATATATGGGTTATAAAGCTGACCAAACGATGACGGATACAAATATTGTATATTGAGTGTACAGAAGAGTCTAAAACGATATCGCCTATTTTTCGGACCAATACTGTTAAAATACATAACATAAGTATGCCTCATTTCATTAGATACCTAACTGATAGATAAAAATCAAGTCCTACTGAGGAAATCTGGCTAGATATCTTTACTATATTTGGCAAAGATTATTATCCGATGCAACGGTACAACCTCCGAACAAATTGTTCAAAACGGAATATTATAGCTTATACCTGTCATTCAAACTGATCGATGAAAATTAAGATAACGATTTTCAAAGCTCTATAAATCTCAAGAATCATCTTTCAATCGTTTTCGCCTAGAACAATTTTCGAAGTACATCGAAAATCACTAATCAAAGTTATTTCAAAAATATCGGTACAACTGTACAGCTTTGCACAAACAAAAACGGTTTGTAAAATTAATATATATCAGTGTAGATTTATTTAAAACATATTGGAAGTCGCGTTCTAGTTTTCGAAAAAAAATTAAGCCACTGGCTTCGCTCATATGACTAGTAGGTGACTTTTGTGGGAAATCCGAGTCCTATCAACTCAATACTTCAATTTCGCCTATTTGAAATACAAACCAACTCTGAGCGCTAGAAACAACCGAGTATTAAAATTTATTCTTATAGAATTTATAGATATATAGTTAAGCCTTTACAATAGTGGACGATCAGCTAAAAATATTTCTACAAAATAAACAATTTATGAGTACCATATCAATGTTTTGGTTGTGTATTTGGTGTTTTTCTTTTGTTTGTAAATGTGACAATATTAAATGCTCTGAACAATGAAACATAAATGAGCAAGAAACTTAAAATGCGAAGAGGCTTTTATCAAATTTATAGTATAAATCATTTTGTTAAATTTACTTCAACTTACAACTTGTACTTGATAGCACGTAAGATTGGATACTTATCACCTGTGCAAGCACCGCGGAAGTCATCGAAAGACAAGTCAACCAAAGCTATACCGCCCAAACCTCTAGCCTTTACAAACGCTGCTTTATTCGCTGCGGTATCTGGATCATCATAGCCTACCCAGATGCCGTTCTCGCCGTTGTCATCAGCCGAGCGGTAAGCATAGTTGCCGAAACGTTTGGTAGGATCCCCAACCTTACGAAGTGGACCATCTGCGCCCTTCAAATGCTGATTGGCGGGATTTGGCAATTTGCCGCATACCTCAGGCCAACTGAGCAGACCTGGTTTTTGAGTTTGCGTACCAGCTGGTGCAACACCATCTGTTTCAAGAACTGGTGGCACACCGGTGAGACCGGAATCCTTAGTCATTTTCCAGGCACGTCCATACGCGGCAATAGCGACATTGATTTTAGTAGCAGGGCAGTGATTGTTTAACCAATATTGTGTTTGAAAATTAATATTAGCTTCAGGGTTACGTTCATTTAGCTCGTAGATGGGTGCTGGGTAGTCAGCAACTTCAGGGTTGCGTTCAGGTGTATGGAAATCATAAGCATGCAAGTTGACGTAGTCCAAATTGTTTACAATTGCAGGCACATCGTAAAATACTGTAAAAAAAATTTCAAAAAATAAATTGCTGATATGAAATATGCATAAAATAATATAAAACTTACGTGAAGAATTCACATTGGGCAAGACAGAGAGTCCCAACAAGTAGCCATCGGGACGGAGAGCGTTCTTCAGTTCGCGCACTAAGGATGTGAATTCTTCCTTATGTTCTTCCGCCTTTTCATCGACAACGAAGTCGCCAGAGAAAATTTTCTTGAAACCCTTCCACAGTTTACCGATACCGCTATGCACCTTTTTGGCCTTGTTCTTGGGGAATTGCCAAGCTAAATCGAGACCATCGAAACCGTAAGTCTTCACCAAAGAGTGTGCACTATTTATGAATGGTATACGCGCATTGGTGCTCTCCAACAATGTCAAATACTTGTTGTTATCTGGATCGACTTCGTCTCTGTCGCCACCAACGCTCAACAATACCTTTAAATGTGGGTACTTCTTCTTATAACCAGTCACCGTGCGGTACAATCCCGAACCGATGTCTAGATCGAGCTTATCATTGTTGCTGACAAGTTTGTTCGATGTCGGACTGATGCTAGCATAACCGTAAATGAGATGGGTGCAGAATTGTAAAGCTGGTTCTAAATCGTTTGTGTGCAATTTAGAGAGACCTGTAAGAATATGAAGTGAAAGTGAATAGGTCATTAATTATGTGACTAATGAGGAAACAAGTTTCTGTATATAATTCATAATTTGTTAATTAGCGAAAGTGTTGCAATCTTTCGCTTCATTTTATAATTGAATGCAGTTATTAATATTGATTATTGTCGATGTGGGGGGCAAATCGCACTTACTTATGTAAAACAATTTACGAGTAATGCTCTATTGTAATTATAAATTTCTGTGTAAACTATAGGTTTTTGTACTTATATGCGTATGTGTATAGGCACTGTTAGCGAAAATATGCGAAAGCAAATGTAAATTGCTGTTGCGAAAATGATATGTATAAACAGCAAAAACTGAATTACCAGTATTTATTTACAAACACACTATACCATACTTGTACCTATGTACTTGTATTGCCTTATATTTTCAATTTTGCGTTTCTTTGTATATTTCTCCTTTGTTGCTTAAACAATTAGCATCATCTTATATGCTCAGTGAATACGAATTAAGCACACTTCAACTCAGTGTCGCATGTGACAGCTAATTTAAGCTGAAGCCATTGGATTAGGGGCTTTTAGCAGGGGACTTACGTTTTTTTCTCAGAAGCAATCAATGCTCATACATTTGTATGTACATATGCACTGGTATAAACCAAGTGAGTTTATCATTTACAGGTAGCCTCGGTAGACTTTTAATTAGTAGGCCCAGCTTGTTTGTTTATGAAACTTTTGGCATAAATAATAAATTAATTGTATATCCAAGACCTTTCATTGTTTTGCTTGTAAATATTTGCACTCGTATGTACATACATCATTTACTGATATTTATGTGTCATTTACATAAATGGTCCGGCATATCACATGCTTATTATTATTATTCGCGCTTATCCGAACACCAATGCCCTTCGAACAATAGGAAACAAAACTTTTAAATTCATAGACATTTTTCTATCTTATCGAGAAACGGAACACTTATTTAGCTATTTATTCAATTATTTCAACGTCGCTATAAATTATTCTCCAATTGTCTGAGTGGCTTACACACATGGCCTAGCTTCAACTGTTTGTTGTTGTTGGTATTGTTTTTGTAGCTGACTGTCAACAAAAAAACTGATTTGTTTACAGCCACCCACATACAATGAAAAAAAATAACGTATTTTTTTTCTCGGCAGTGTTTCAATTGAAAGTAATTGATCTTATGACTGCCTACACTTATGAAATGCACTCGAATGATTATTAAATTAGGTTAGTTAAACATTCCTAATAAACCAAAAAATATAAATAACTTTAAAAATCTCCACTTATTTAATGTAGTTGCGTAGGTCGAGAGTAATTTTTTTGATAATTTTTTTCTATGAAAATAATATTTTCCTTGAGGAGGGTATTTCTATATAGCATATGTGTGTGATAAATAGTAGAAAGCTAAACTCAGTTGACTTTAAAATGGTTTGATAATATGGTAACAATAAAAACGGTTTGTATATGATTTACATTAAAATTCACAAATCGTAAACACCTCTTTGTATGTGATCAATGCATAACTAATTAACGAGTCTGTACTTAAGTGAATCACTTTTTTCCACTCTACATGCATATATGTAAGTTTTTAGGCGTATTATTAATATATGTACTTATGTAGCTATCTCGTGAAAACAACTTGTCACTCATAATTACTCTAGATTTCTTTCCGCCTTTAGTTTGATAAATATGTGTATAAATACTGTGGAAAATTAAGAATACGTAGGTATATAATTGCAGATCTTCATAATTTACAAAACACTACAACAAATTGGTCAGTGAGGTTATCACTTTGATCTTGTGGCACAATTTAATTTTCTTAGACAATTAAGACTTATTCTATGAATTCACATACATATGTATGTACGTACATATAGAAATGACACATAAATGAGTTTATGATGGCTCAGTCTGACTCCGGTTTTTATATAAATATACCATAAGTATATACAGGGTGTCCTAAAATTAACGCAAGATTTAAATTTGCCACCATTTCTGTAGGAAAGTGTTGGTAATCTTAAAAAAACAAATTGTGAGCTGACACTTTGAAACAAGCCCACAACCACGCGAGCTTTAAAGGAGCAGATTCAACGTTTCATTAATGAAATTCAGCCACGTTTAGTCAGAATAATCATGGAAAATTTAGACAAACCAGTGCCTATGTGTATGGAAAGGCGATGTGTTATTACAATCGTAATACTAAACACTGTGTTTTCTATTTAATTACAATCTTGCATTGATTTTGGGACACCCTTTATATATATATTTATGCGGCTTTAATTGCTGCCTACTTCTTAATCAGTGAAGTCACGTACTTTCATGGAATATATGTTCATATGTTGGCCTCCATAGAAATACATTTCTACTATATAATTTTTGTAGATCGCTTTTTTCTATTACAAAAATTATAGTCAGCTTAAATCAGTAATTTTTGTTTTAATAATTGTAAAATTTTTCAAACATTATCAATCAACCTTTTCGTAGGCACATACTACAAAATTTAAGAGAGCTGAGTGCACTATCGATTCAAAGTTCCTAACTACTAGATATATATATAGAATTATATTCTTTAAAATTATTGTTAAAAATTTGATATGAACTTACAAGTTCATTTCCTTTGAAATCGCTATTTGCTTAGAGCAGACACATTGGTGTGGGACAAGTGGTTATGACATAAGAGATGTAGTAGTGATATTCAGCAAATAAGCATTTGTATTACGCATACACGACCAATATCGTAATAATAATTCATTCACTTAATAGGTATTAACGGCACATGTAATAATTTACACCTCACTTTGTGTCTCTTAAAACTTTAAAATATCTTATTCGACGGATATATTCCCTGGTTATTTAACGAAAAATTTATCTATTAAAGCAATTGGTTGTGAACTTCCATATTAAGTAAACATTTTATCTCACTTATTAGTTTCTTATCGTTTGAAAAGTTAAACGACTCTTGGTCTATCCTCTACTCGAGGTAATTTCTGTTGCAGCCAATAAAAACAAGAAAAGACATTAACGTCGGCTTCACCGAAGCTATAATACCATTCAGTTTGCATTTTTTATAGTATAAAAGGCTTTAAATGATTTTATCTGCATTTTGTACGATCAGTTTGATTGGATACTGTTTGCTATAGTGATCCGTTCTGAACAATATGTTATGTTTGGGATTGTAGTATCATGCCAAATTGTAAAAAAAAAGTTTTCTAGATAATAACTTGATTTTTATTGGTCAGTTTGTATGGCAGCTACATATATCCTATAGTGATTTGATATCAGTGTTTCTGCAGACATATATATAAAAGTATGCATATAAAGTAATTTGAAAGAGTTGGAAATATCTGCCACTAATCTTTCACAAATGTAAATATTTCTCATATTTACAATAAATTTACCACTACCTAATTTTGTTTAGTAAGAAAAGTGTGTGGCCTTGATTGTTGATCCATACCATTTTCATATATCAGAAAGTTAAAAATCTAGTTAAAACATTTCTGTCGATGAATTTGCAAAATGCTTTATTTTAGTTTTAAACTAGCCTCAATCACCGGCTTCTATTTATAATATGTTCTACTTTGGTTTGAAACGATTTTTGATAACCTTTAGTTCAAGCTGGTATTTTATAAATACACATATGTATATGTGAGTGTTTGGTGTGTATACTTGGGAGCAGGTACGTTGAATTTCGTTGAATTCCATTTCAATTGTTATTAATTGTGTATTTTTTATTTGCAAGCGAATTTCTGGAATATTCCAATCGAGCGAAATTCGAAGGCTATGCACTTTCGGTTTCATTTGTTATTATTTGAAGTATGCAAATTTCACTGACAGTTCCACAAAACTTGTACATATATATACAAAATATAAATCGCCTGCACTTTTTTATCCAGTTTTTTACATATAAATACATTTATATGTGTGCTTATATCAAATTGCGTTACTGATTTTTTATTGCCTTACCTTCGCGCGCATAACTGCTGCCATCGTAGTAGCAAACAAGATGTGAGTTGCTCGCATGCTGGGCGCTAGCCAAAACTGCCAGCGATAGAGCTAGCAAAATGACAAATTTCATTTTGTCAAAAATTTATGAAACGTTCACAAATACAATTAATTCGGTTTTAATAAATAAATTTCTTATGCGTATGCAACAACTCAAACGTTGTGAACTACTCGGCTCCAAAGTAAAACTTAAACTGCCAACTGATCCGAGAAGGTGGTTTAAGTTAAAGCCGGCGCGCCGTCGCGAACTGGCAGTCGATTGTGGTTCGGTTGATTGGTTCACAAGCGAGCACTAGCCGACTAAGGCGTCACAACAAAGTAAACGCCAAAAACAATAACAAAACCAGATAACTACGCAAGTGATTGTATACAAATATACAGTATACAAACATATGTGTCTAAATAAGTAACGAGATAAGATGTGACTTGGAGCATCAGTTGAATCAACTTGAGTTAAAAATGAGATTGAAAATCGACCACAAAACTATATTATTTATTTATTTATTTACTATATGTATAAGTACATACACATCAATTTTATTTGTAATCAGATCACTATTGTAATACTTTTATATTTCAAAATATGTAGAAAGTAGTGAGAGTAATGTTCAGTTCAGGCCAACTTTCGATCTTTCATTACTTTTTATCTTTTAGTGATATAATTCGTAAAATAAGAAGTAGTACCCCAATCACACATAATTTACACACGACTTTAATTGGATAGACTTTTATGTAACCTAAACTTCTGAACCTTACCCTACCAACCCAAAAATTATCTGAGAATCATGACTGTATCAGGATATACATATATCTGTTATATGAATATAAATATTATTTTTTTCTTGAATAATAAGTTTATTTTTTTATTTAGTGCAACATTCCATTTGTTTCGATGAAATCTTATAAAGAATCCTTTGTGACAGTTTATTTGTTGCTTATTAGCTTGCTGCAGCTAATTATATGACAGTGACTGTGAACGGAGTTGTTTCTCATAGCAGATGTCTCATTGTTGATGTCATCATTTCGCACACAGATTTTCAAGCACTTAAAGTGATATTATTTTGTTTTTATTTGTACCGATATTTTTCCGGTAACCGTTTGATTATAAATGCTCATATGTACGCATACCTAATTTATACATACATATATATATTTTGTTTATATTTATATCTATACCATTTACAATACTTCTTTGTGAAAATCAATGTTTTTTGTAATCAAAGTGAATGTTATCTGGATAAGGACAGATCAGGATAAGAATTGATAAGCGATTTATTTCGATTTCAGCTAGTTCAACCGTGACCCGGTTTTCTTTCTATGGCCCAGCGCCTGCAAGAAGGGAAAGGTTATGTTAGTTTACATATTGCGTTTGTCTACTATAAATGAATCTCATGTATAGGACTATGTGAGGGGTATACGACTTGCAAATTAGCATTTTTTACATGTCTACCTTTTAACGATCAGCTGACAATGAGCTAGCGCTCCCTCAAGTCGTTTAGTTTAAATCGTACTACCCTCTAACGAGAGTACTTATCGTGATTACTTTGCTTTTGTTTGTACGAAAGTTTATAATAATACAGTTAGTCACATTTCTGATATAAACAAGATGCATAATTTTACTGACATGATTTATCACTACCTATCCAGAGCAAGATGTTAGCAAATATTCGTTTAGTGATCCGTAGACATTATCTTTTGCAAATATATGTATCTATCTGCTGCGACTTTCGCTTTTTAGAGTTTAGGCTCGTTTGTATTTGGGTACAGCTTAAGGAGCTTATGCGCCAATGTACATGTATACATGTACATGTGTATGTGTATTCGGATCGTTAATACTTGGGTGTTGGCTCAGATGTATTTTTCCATTTGTTATAATTTTAATGCATTATGACTGTTCTATATAGAGTAAATGAGTCATAGCTTATAATAAGGCATTACCTACGTATATGTACTCATATATAACTACCGAGGTTACCGCAAAGTGTGTATATTAGTATGCATGTACATCAGTTTAAATTTTTTTACATATGTACACTTTCATATTAATGTTTTTATATTTAAATTGCACACAGTTATCACCGTTATTTAACTTCCTAAACAAAATTGCAAGCGTGTACGTAATGAACCGAACGATCAATAATTTCAAACCGAGAATTTTTGTTTTCATTAGGGGATTTTTTTAACAATCGAAAATTCAACATCATACATTTGTATATTAGATTTACATATGTATACATACATATATTTCAATTCGATATACGCTGCACATACTTTTCAACTTTTAAAAAAAGTGTTTGACTTAGTCTACCCAGAGACCGCCCCAAGCGACCGCTCCGTAAAAAAAAGCTCCAACCTTGTCTTAGAGTACAAACCTTAGCTATAATTATTATTATTGTCCCTTTTAAAAAATGGGCGACACCATTTTGGAATATAGGCTGTTCGACATTAATGCTCAGAGTCAAGCATACATACATACGTACAAGTAGATAATGATATGCTATAACTATGAAAGATTGCATATATTTATTATCACGTATAATTAAAACGCGATTATTTGTTTTATTGCGGTAAATTTGTTACAAATGGCCTAATTGTACGATGCGCATAAATACATATAAGTATGTATATGATATTCTATTATTGTAAACAATAACCAATATTGATAGTACATATTACCAAAAATGTTTTGAATACGATTTAAAAATGCCACATGTTTAAAATATTTTTAGAGCTTTTTTATGGAAAATATATTTACAGTCGCGTCTGGATATAGTGAACTAATTTTTGTGAGCTATATATAAGATTGAATTTTGTGTTTCAAAATGAGTTGTTTTGTACTCAGAGTATTAATTTTCAATTTCAAATTTAACAGCAAGAGAAAAATGTAAATAAAGGAAATAAAGGCTATAAAGAGAAGTCGATAATGATGTTATTGACATTTGGATCACTTTTTTACTATGATAAAATTATAATCTGTTATAATTTTCAAAGTAAAGTGATAGCTATGTCAAAATTTTCAAAGTTTCAATATAGATTTAGTTATTAAATGCCGTAATCTCTATCTTTAGATCTGAATGTATCAAGTAACGAACAAGTCGTGCGTGAATAAAACTTTTTAATTAGTCTAAAGAAGATGTGGATGAATACCACCTAGTTTATTTTTCTAAATATTTACAGATAATATCCAAACGTACAGACAAAATCTTATATGCATACACCACTTGTTATGAAAAAGTGACTTTATAGAATAAAACTTACATTCCAAGGGGAGCTTAGTTTTTGATTTATAAACGGTCGTTAACGAACAAAAAAATTAAACCCTGTGGAATAAACTGGGCTCAGATACACAAATGACGATAATTATATGTGTATTGATAGGTATGCGCATTTGTATGTAAATTATAATATAGAAATAAAATTATCTATAAATGGTTTATGGGATTAATTAAAACAACCACAAATTGTGTAAAATTTTTTGTATTATTATTATTGGCTTTGCATTGGTTTAAATACATTTTAATATAATTATGCCACATAGCGCAGATGGCTTATGGTAGTAAATGGGAAATCTTTTTTGCACCATTAAAAATAATTAAAGTTAGAAAATCATTTAATGAACTTGATAATAACAAATCTGTTTCTGTTACACAAAAAAAAAAATTTGATAAACAGCTTTTAAAGATTAGAGTCAATTAACTTTAATTGTGATGCATAAAAATTTATTCGTCAAATAACCAAAATACGAAATGACGAAGAAAAAATCACTCAGTTATAAATTAATTTTCCTGTCTGAAATATAAATAGAAAATCTTTAGGTTAATTCCAATTATACGAGTAGTACTATATACTAATGTATTAACATATTATCAGATTACTGGCTTTGGTCTATAATCGAATAAAAAATCAAAGTTTATGTCTTGATTCTTAAAGTGGTTAAGATAAGTAAGTATCAATTAGTAATAGCAAAATACTGACAAAATATATATACATAGAAAATTATATATGTATATTATACAATGTGTATACGCATATAACTTCATCGATGCGTGAGACTTGCTGTCTGCAATATCTTCGATTATATGTTTTGCATAATTTTAGGCTCATTATGAATAGAATATTGATAAGCTTAATTAAACAGCTAAATTTGAATGAATACTTCTTATGCCCAAGGTAAAATCTTGAAATCGAGTAAAACAAGTTTGTTCGTCTCTTTGCTGGTTATAGCTTTTGTAACGGTTTTGTAAATCGAAATAAACATATTTAGAACAAGGAGCAATTTATTTGATTTTTTATATCGCGATCGCCGATTACAATTAGATATTACAATATAATAGTTTATTTATGATTAAAACTATCTCAACATAGTAAAAATTACTCAAAAGTATACATTTTATTTCTTTTTTTCCTGGCACATTTCTTATGAGGACTACATATACAACTAAAGCTTAAAAGCCGCGTTGGTTGGTATAAGCACCTTTAAGTCTAATTGAGATTACTTAATATGGAAGAACGATTTTTTATGATGATGATTAAATCAAAAAGTTTTCTAAACCAGAAATTTATTTTGATAGCTCAGTTTGTGTCGATGCCTTAGTAGTCCGATATCAGTGGATTAACAGCTTCTTGTGGAGGAGAGGAGGAATTTTAAATCGGTATCTTAAAAACTGATAGACGTGCTCGCGTAAAAAAAAAAGGTGGCAATTATTTTTTCCGGAAGACCTTTTATATCCCCGCTAGTTATAGCACTGGAGAGTATTTTAATGCGTTTTAATAAATTTATCTGAAGGAGCTACAGCTACGACGATTTTTGTTCTATCAGGGACTTGCTTATTCTATAGACACTGATGCTTAAGTATCCAGATACTGAAATTAATTACTTTTTTTTAGAAAAATTATGACCACTTTGAATATATATAATATATATAATGTCTTGACCGACGTATACATACTTTTGAAAAGATATACTATTGTCAGTTTTTTCAAGTTCATGCAGAAGAACCAAATTCGACACTTAAGGTAATATTTTTTCATGGTTTGCTGGGTATTTATTGTAGTCAACGTCAACCCTTATACTTATCTAAGCGTGCTAGGCAGTTATGGGCCTATTTTTACCGGCTAAAAACTAGCATTTCCATCGATTTGAAAGAATCTATCACTGTTTTCACGTATTACCTAGATTTTAAGTTTTTGAGTCAGGATATCACGATCCACTGTTTCAAATGCTCTTTTATATTAGTGCCACCACCAGACTTCAGAGTTGAATTAATATAGTTTACATAGCCACTGACGGTCGTCAGAGCCAAAACGATTATTTTGGATTCATCTGACCAAATTACATTCGCCCACTTCGGTCCGATTCGCATGTTGCCTAGCAAATGATAACCGCAGTCCTTTGTTTCTTGTAATGAGCAGGGGCTTTTCTCTAAATTAAAATTTTATTGATATAGCCTATAGTGCTGCACATGACACTACAATGGTATATTTATATATTTTTGAGTTCATTCTGCCGCTGCATATATGGTATGTAAGTTATTTCATAAAAATTTATAGACCATGACCTCTGTGCATGTAGGAGCCGCATTTTTAATATATAGGAAATACTATATTATAAATAAGGGCTACCTCCTTGCGTAGTTCAAATCATATTTGCTGCATTTTTCAAAGCTTGCAATGCCCTTGAGTAAAAAACAAGCGTTGCATTAGAAGAATGGTATGCGCAGCAAAATTTTTTCCAAGAATCGTGGCTACTTTATGAGCTAATAGTTAAGATAATAGGGTTTGCCTTAGTAATATACTCGAGTATTATCGAATACATATGTATGTATCCATATAAGTAAACTTGTATTAACAAAGGTCGATATGGATTTCCTGGAATTTGCGCAAACCAAAAGCAGCAGCAACACAGAAATAGTTTTGGTGGTAACTTAAAGTTCATGGAATGGCAAGTGAAAGGGGAACTCTTTATTATTGAGTTTATATCCTTGCATTGCACGTATATCTATATATACGATAACATTGCGTTTTATTAACTGAATGGCAAATTCCATTTTAAAAAAATCCGTTTTTTCGCTTCCATATGCCACAACGTAACCAAAACGCATTGAAGCGTTAACAAGGCGCATTCGATATTGCGTGCATCAGTGCAAATATGCGTGAATTTTATTTGCATGTGGCATGCCACAGCCAATACGTACATGTAGTATATTTGTATGCATGTAGTTAATATTATATTTGATTGTATTTATTCGTTTGTGTGCGGTGCATTGATACCTGCCCATAACGAACATGCAATACGGCAGTCAATAAATGGTAAAACTGGGGGCGAATGCGCTTGAATTGTATACTATACATAGATATGTTATACTTTCCTTTCTGCAATCATTTTACACACCGATTGCTAGAGAATCGATGTACTATATATATGCAATGTATATGGTGTGTGAATGGGTTTTAAGTTACCTCAAATTACTGTGTAGAAAGTTGAATTGGCTGGTTAACGCGCCAAAGTCGCATTGGATTTACAATTGGATTTTGTTAGTTGCGAACTTTTACAGCTTTCAGAGATACCAATGGTATCGATATTTACGAGTGCAGAATGATTTCGGGTTGCCGGAATTAATAATAACCATTACAAATTTATTTAAGTTATAAAATCAATTCGTATATCTTCAGTATGTACATACAGGGTCCGCAATATTTACTGCGGTAAATAAATATTGCGTAACATTTGTATATGTAAATAATATTAGCTGTGTTCGAATCGCAATTTCTCTGCTCACTTCAGCTCTCTTGTCAAAAAAATTGCATGTAAAGCAACAGCAAAGTTATCGAGTTGGGTTC